TCACCATCTGTTTCCCCGTCGTACTGACTCACGATAAGCCTCGGATCAGCAGGATAATCGACAAATCCTCCCCAAGCCGGGAAGCGGCATCTAAAATAACCCGGCTTCTCCTTCCCGGCAGAGACGTCCCAGCCCGAGCCAGTGCCCGCTTCCCACCGTGACCGAGTACAACGGGACAGACGCGGTCCCCCCCCGGGGAGCGGCTCGGAGCGAGGGGCCAGAGGCTCCGCCGCCACCCCGCAGCCTCTCCTCTCTTACCTCCTCATCGGACTCGAACTGCACGTTCACCCCGTACGTCTCGTCGATATTGTCATCTGCGAGAGAGAGCGGGGTTAAATCATCCGACAACCTGGGCGCCGCGCGCAGGGTTCACAGATCCGCCCGCCCGCCCACGCCCCCGCGCAGCCGAAAGATGAAAAGAAGGTGGTTTCGGGGCTCGAAAACCATCCAAACGTGGGGGGGGGGTGGTTGGGGGGCTTCTCCAGGTGCAAGCGCTACCCTGGAGTAAGGCTGAGTTTGGCACCAGCAACCCGACTTCCCGCCAGCCCCGTCCCTGAAGCCGCAGCCCACAACAACCGCCGTCCCCGTACCCATGTTCTGGATTTCCTTGTCTCCGCCGTAATCCGTGATCTTCTTCCCCAGGTTCACCAGCACGTGGTAGCGGGTATCATCGGTCTGTCCCAGCAGCAGATCGATCTCCTTCCGCCTCTCCTTATCGCGCAGCTTCTCGTTCTTCAGGACCGCCAGGACCTCGTCGGCGGCTCCGCAGAGGATGTCGCGCGGCTGCGAGAGGAACGACGCGGGGCACGGAGAAGAAAATCGCCGCGTGAAGGGTACGGCGTCCGTCCCTCCTATTTCCAGACCCTCGTGTAGGCACCAAAAGGCCCCCCCGCCCCACCATGAAGGCGCCATCGCAACGTCCCCGAGCCCAAAAGCCGGCGCCGACGGGAGCGGAGCCGTCCCACGGGGTTACGGGGAAGGACCGAGACGCCCAAGGGCCAGATCTTAGGGGCTTTGAATCCTCTGCCGGAGCAGGGAGGTGCCCCCATCCTCACCTGGTCCCCGAGAGCCGCCTGAATGAAGCTGAGCAACACCTCGTAGGTCTCGCGGGTCTCCTTGGTCTTGGGTTTGTAGATGATGCCCACCATCTCATCGATGCCCTCGGAGAGCAGGGTGTAACCCTTCATCTTGTTGATGTCGTGCCTGTCCTCGTCACGTTTCCTCCGCCTGGAAAGAGGGGCAGGGATGGGGGAGCGCCTGGGTCAGCCCCGCGGCAGAGCCCCGCTCCCGCTACTTCAAGTACGGCCGTTCTCTTTTATTTGAAAAAAATAAAGGAGAAAAAACAGGTATTTTTAAGTTTTTCGCTTCAGGTTTAGCTTCTCGACGCAGAGCGAGCGACTCCAAACGAAGAAAATAACGTCTCTGCATCTTCCAAGTCGGCGG